CGGCCTAACTCTTTTTTTTTTTTTTTTTTCTCTCCTTTTCTTCGAATCAAATACAAAATAGTACATATAAATGAATATGTACGTAAATTTGATAAATAAATGAAACTCTCAAAGCATACTTACCCCCATGACTCCCGCCGTCTTGAAGAAGACGAAATTGTGCGAGGTTTTATCATCCCAGACCAGCAACAGCACTTTGACACCCTCGTCGGCCTTCATCTTCAGCAACGCTCCCAAGGTCAGATGTTCGATACCCCCCACATCTTCCACGTATCTTTCCAACGCTGTTCCTTTCAACACCATGTCTTTATCCCTCACCAACGGCGTTTTGTAATATACGGACCAGCCGACTATGTACACCAGCTTCTGCGCATTCGCGATGGAATTCGCTATGTCCCACCAGCACATCCCATGCGCATAGACCCTCCCGTCCTTCAGCGTGATCCGAGGGAGAGTGCCCTCTCTCACATGGGCATCCTGATAGAGTTTCACCTCTCCGCCGACTCTGAGAGGGAAGTAAGTGTTCGGAACCCCAGGGAGTTGGGAGGAGAGGGGGCTCGCCTTACCCTTGTCCTCCCACATCACACCCTGATTAGCTCTTTCCAAAACAGGAAAGAACTGCATCGCGACGCGCACCTTGCAGTCTGGACCTATGGGAGTCTTCTTGTCACTGCCCACCACATCAAACCACTGCTCGATTCTCTCTCCGGTCCCGACAGTCTCGAAGGGGATATATGACCGTCCGATCAAGTTGGCATCCACGAGATCGGCGTCCTTCAACGTGATGACCACGTGGGTGACCATGTGGGCGGTGATGATGCGGAAGCGTTCGTTCCAGATGGGACGAGGAGTGTTCCTGATGACACGGGTTTGCGCCATACGAGCGCCCAAGGGGCCATTACGGAGATCGACAGAGGCATAAGGGTCGGAATAAATTCCACGAACTTTACCCAAACTCGCTCGCTTCTGTTTGGTAGTCATCGGCATGGAAAGGCAGCGGAAACAACTCTGCAACGCCTCTGACAGAGTATCGAAATTCGGAACGTTTTTCGCCTCGTACACTGTGACGTCCAACGTCCCGTGAAGAAGCTGGGGTGTAACTCCTACCGCCCCATCTTCGGGTTGATCTTGTAGAGTAGAGTGACACAGCTCCATCTCTCTCTCTCTCTCTCTCTCTCTCTCTCTCTCTCTCTCTCTCTCTCTCTCTCTCTCTCTCTCTCTCTATCTATCTATCTATCTCTATCTATCTATCTATCTATCTATCTCTATCTCTATCTATCTATCTATCTATCTATCTATCTGTGTGTGTGTGTGTCAATCGCTCGCTCGCTCTCGCTCTCTCTCGCAGTGTGTGTGTGAGCAAGGCTCAGAATTTCTCTCTTTTTTTTTCTCTCTCTCTCTCAATCTATGCCTTTGTATCCACCTTGAATCTATCCACCTCTCTCTCTCTCTATCTCTCTCTATCTATCTATCTATCTATCTATCTATCTATCTATATCTATCTCTCTCTCTATCTATCCATCTATCTATCTATCTATCTATCTGTGTGTGTGTGTGTCAATCGCTCGCTCGCTCTCGCTCTCTCTCGCAGTGTGTGTGTGAGCAAGGCACAGAATTTCTCTCTTTTTTTTTCTATATCTCTCTCTCAATCTATGCCTTTGTATCCACCTTGAATCTATCCACCTTG